TGCCTTTCATCTGCCAGTTCAGTGCATTTTCTTTTCTTCACTAGCAGAATTATAGGGTTTTAAGTGAACGTCAGCTATTCTGCCCCCAGGCTTTCATTTCACAGCAACTGTATATCTGGCCTTTTCTTTCCTCACTAGTAATGGCTTTTGTTAAATAAGGGAATGTTTACCAAGCAAAACCAGCACAGCCTCTAAGATTTGTGCTGAGTGACAATGTTTTGGAAGTCAGTTTCCCTTGGGAGTCAAAATTGATAATATGTAGTCAGGTATTTTCTTAGTGCTATCGGTTTGTTTACCAAACCTGCACATTTCCCATCATGGTTCCTTTGAACCATGATAATGAATGGCACACAAGCCTCTTTCCAGTTGTGGGTTGCCTCCTGTCTAGAAACTGCTGTTTTCTTTTGTCTTCCTTCACCACCAATTTACTCTACAGTTCTAAGCGTATGGTTCCAAGAGTAATGCAGATGGCTTGTGTGCTCATATACTGAACCAGAGAGAGACAGAAAAAGCATTAAGATTTCAGAACCTCATCACTGAATCAACACCAGGGCTATGTTAGCAACCTTGCATATAGGGAAGCTGAGAAGATGTCACCCTCCCTTCTCCTCCTTCCGCTTGCTCTCACAGTCTCCTAAACTGTCAGCCCTCAACCCTGTCCTGTCCCAAGTTGTCCTGAATCTTATACTTGCATTCAGAGCTTTGGGAAAAACAGAGCAAGAGGAGAGTCATAGGTAGGACATTAAAATGAGGTGGGTGTTGCACAGAAGCAAACAGATTCAGATCTCCTCAGCTTCAAGCAAGGCTGCTGCCTCTGAGAAGGCTGCTCTGTTTGTTTCACTATACAGGTAAAAGAGGTAAACCCTATTCCTACCATCTTGCTGCAAAGAGGGACCAGCCACAGCATTGGCCTGGGACAGGGAGGCTCTTTCTTGTGGTTAGAAATTAGTCCCAGGACAGCACATCCCATGATCTTGGCATTAAGGGTCCTTTAAGCCATTTAGAGAAGCTGTTTAGAGATGAGGGACCAAGGTACCAGGGACGGTGCTGGGTGCAAGTTTGCAGAACTTCCTCCTTAGGGCTGCATGTCCTAGTTAGGACACAGGATACCCCAGCACAAGGCAAGGGGGCAGCAAGGTGTTTGTGCAGGTCTTGGGCAAGAGGTATGAAGGGCTCTAGAGTCCAAGAAGACCTTCCTGGCTTCTTTCTCCTTAGCCGACCTATAGCATGGAGATAAGATATTCAATAATCTTAGAGACTTATTGTCTGCAGTTTGCACTTGTCCTGCTGACCAGCCTGAAGGCAGATGTGGCTGTCAACTGACTCTACCACATGACCTTATCTGCCGCTTTTCTTGTTTGCATCACAACAGGGGATCCAAGAAAAGTTAGTCTGTGCAACTGTCCTCTTCATCCTCTCCTTGTGTGCAAAAAATTACTTGTAGTCCATTAACTATAAGAGAGAGGATAATATCGTACTTCATCCTAGTTACCCTGTGTTTAAAATAACTTGAAAACCTCCTCTTCTTTGTCTGCAAGCAGGTTCACCCAAGTTTCTTCCAGCCTGATGCCTGCAGTGTGCAAACCATTAGGACCTCATGCCAAAACGATAACATTCTTAACAAGTCTTTAGAAGCAGCATCATTGTTTTCCTATTTGCACAACTGGGACAACAGGATATGAAGTCCCAGTTAAATTAACTTAGCGGGTATCTACAGACTAATAAAAATTTCCTCAAGACAAATTCGAGTGCCTCTACTTTTTGCCATGTATACAAAATCCAAGCAGTGTTTTTGTTTACTTACAACAAGTCACTGAACCCTTAAAAAGGCAATTCTGCCGAAGCGGTATTCTTTGTCATATGGGATTTAAACATAAACTTTGATTTTGTTCTTAAAGATTGTACTTAAAAATATTTTCTACTACATTCCTGTCTTCAGATCTTAGAATGAACTGTTGATTCACCCTGTTGCTCTATTCCCACCCCATATGCTGGTACTCAAATGCCTCTTGCAGGCTCACTCACACAGGAGAACCATAACAACATTTAAAACAGTACAAGATACCCCCATCTTCTCCAAGTATAGACGCAATAGTACAAATGTGCCATCTAACAGCATGGTTGAGAACATGAAAAAATCCACAGTGGATCAAAAATGGCATTTAGTACTATGTCTTGTGCTCAACAGTGGCCAGCAATGGATACCAGGGAGGAGTAAAAGAGCACAGAAAGCCCAGACATTCCACATGATTGTGTAGTCAGTTTCTAGGGATTTGTTTATGGCAGACACCTTGAGCCATGGTAGGTGTATTTGTGCCTGTTCAATCTCAAGGCTTCTTTCATCTCTGAACCCTCAAAACCCATTTCTGAAGCTCTGAGAACTTCTGGACTCCAAGACATGCTGTGGCCAAGGATTGCATAACTTAAACATGCAGCAGCGTGTGAGAACGTTATCTCCTGTTTGTTTTGAATCCGATACCTAATGGTTTCGTGGCACACTCACCTGCTTTGGTAATGGAAGCAACAGAGATAAACTCTTTCATAATGACTTTTCCTTCCTACTCTGAATTTTATAGACATCTATTTTAACCCTTGTTCCTCATCTGTAGTCCTCCACACTGCAAAACCACACCCTACTGCTTCTGGTAAAGAAACCTCATGAAGAAGGGTAGAGACAACTTTCAACCAGTGTAGCACTGAAAAATACGTTAAGTCTTTAAGAAAAGTCACATTTCTTGAGTTATAAGTAGTACTGCATTTGTGCCAGCTAATTTGCATTAACTGCTTATTTACATGCCACTTCTCTGTAGTAAATATGAGGTACATTATCCTTCAGGTAGAGTGAATCATCACTGAAACAGATAACATTTATGAGGTAGGAAGAGCAAGTATCCAGACAGGTACTAAGGAGCAGCTGACACCCATGCTGTATTTATGCCTTATTTCACTTTTCAATACTCTTCAATACTTTTCAGTACTCTTCCATACTTTTCAATACTTAGCCCAACTGAAGGGCCTTGCTTGGAGATGCTGTGTTATTGCTTGGTTGAACAGCCCACTGACACCCTAGCTATCCAAACCACTTCAGTCTCTGCTGCCTCTTCTCCTTGAGCTGTAGCACCAATCTGCAGACCAGAGGCAGCCCTTTCCTCCCCACTGCTCACACTTACACCCCCAATTCCCTGCCTTCCTCCAGCAGAGCCTTGTGTCCACCCTGCACTCCCAAAACAGACTATACTAAAAGACCAGACACCCCTGCCAGTTGCTATAAATACCAAGGGAATGCCAGAGCCCAAGAAAAGATCTTTATGGTAAGATCTTTCTGGAAAAAAATATTTATAGTTAGTTTACTATCATATCAACTGCCCTTAATTGGGACAGAAAATTTGATTCATGGGTATAGACACAAACAAAATTTCGATTAGCAGTTAGGAAGGCCTGCTAACATACTGACAATGCTCTGCTCAGAAGGAGAAGGTGAATATGGTAGAGATTGCTTGATGAAAGGAGAAGCCAGCTTTTCAAAATAACCAAAATTTCTCAGGTACAAGCTGGTTTACCAACAACCAAAGCTATATGCTGAAACCTTGACTGAGACCAGATAAAACCTTTCCTCCTAATTACAGCCTTCATGCTGCAGTGGAGTAAACAGTTGCAAGATAACTGCATCACAAACAAAATCCACTTTCCATTTCGCAGACTGTATCTCTATATTGAAATATAGATCTTTGTACGAAGAAGTTAATTACCCACAGGTTTTAATTAATTTATAACAAATCACTGGATCACTAGCCATTCTAATATATGCCTTTCAATTGGTCATGGGTACATCTATCTAAAACATGTTCTACCTATTTTCTGTTTACTACATTGATATTTCCTTTCTACCACTATCTTCTCTGCCTCACAGGATGCTGAAGCAAACCAAGTTTAGATTCACCAACAGCGTTACAGAAGAAAGAGCATTAGTGAATGAAGGCCGAGGTCAGCTACAGCCATGAAATTCCTCATAGGAGATAAACCCATAGGATCTGTCAGTATACTTCCTGCCCATTTCTTCTGTGTGTATAAGGCATACACACAGAACATACACACCCCCACCCCGGCCTTCCTTTTTCTGTCCTGAAAGTTCAGTGCTTTCATCAGTAACAGCCTTCAGAAAGCACTTCCCTTGTTAATCCTAAAGTGGACTTCACAAGTCATCCCAAGAGACAGGATTCCTAATGTCACTCTTTCATGTTTTTTGAGGTTGTAATAACCTTAACCAAGCAGCTCTTTCTTGCACCTGCCTTTTTGAAGGTTTACTTAAATGATTTACTGCAACTATTAAAAAGTTAAGCTAGATTATCCAGCAGTGTTTAACTGTGTGGTCATGAGTCATTAGGTCATGAGGTAAATCAGGCCAAGCACTTCTTGTGGGAATACACCTGTGAGCTAATTTTAAAGTGGGTTCTCTGAAGTTTTCAGTTTACAAACCTATGAAACTTTTCCCATTAATGTTTTGTTAGCACAGCTTACCCACTGGACTGCTCAGTGGGGATCAGTGCTGTGTAGTCATAAAGAAATAATGTATGAAAGGTAACTTAGAATTTTAAATATGATTCTTAGTGCACACCATCAGCTAATTAAGTTCTCTCATCTTTCACATTCTTAGTGTTGATACAGTATGGCACCTGCTAAGCCACTTGAGTCGTATAATTTAGCGTCACAGAAGCACAACAAGGAAAGGAGAGATTTTACAGATCAGAGATTGTACAAAGAGAGAATTAATTTTATCTGGACTGTCCCAACTGATAAAAACCCTTATGAGGGTTTTGCCAGACTTGTTCTTAACCCCAAGGGGTCTAGATAAGTTATGTCGATTTGATGTTCATCCTTATCTCATTTTACTATCATCTGAATCATACTTACATTATTGTTCAAATCCTTTGTAATCTATACAAGCTTGAAGAATGTTTCAGCATGTTCTAGGAAACTCAGGGCCAGTTTGTTCTACATACCTTTCAAGTAGTTATATCAGTTCTCTGGGAATGCTGACATCACTGCAGATTGATTGATCAGAGATACTGGAAGAAGGAGAGGCATTGAAGGAACTGGAAGAGGAATATCCTGCGTTTGCCTTTGAGGCCACAAAAACAGCAGCGGGAAGGAAGACAGTCACAAGAAAGCACGTCTCCTCCAGACAGCATCTACCAAGATGACAAAAGAAATTTAAAATAAATGTTTATGCCACAGGAAACAACAGGAAAACAGGAACTCTCCTGCAAAGCATCAGGGAAATAAATGCATGTTTCAGAAGATGGCTCTAATTACAGCTTTTTAGCTGTTTGAAGTCTCCTTAAGCTTACAACACCTCAGAAGCAGAAGAGGACAGATTTGTCTAGTCCAAAAGATACATTACATTTAGATTCTTCCCTTTTTGTGCCTTCTCTGCTTCTTCTTTAGAGTCTGACAACAGCTGCCCAGGATGATGACGAAGTAATATTCCTTGGCACTCTTATCCAAGTTAGGCATTTTGAATGACTTTCAGATGCATAGCTTAGATGTATATTAAGTGCCAACAACCACAGCCATACCCCCAAACTTTTGCTACTTCTTTAATTTATCTTCTCATGGAAGTTTTCACTCCCACAGTGCTCAAGTGAAAGCCTGGAGTGAGACAGTCTGGTAAGTGTGATCAATGCTACTTGTGCCCAGTTAATGAAAAAAATAAAATCTTTTGGTAGTAAGAAGTTGGCTGATATTTTTAGGACTAATTAAAACCATTTGAGTTGCAAAAGAAAAAAAGCAATAAAGAAAAAACCCAGTAAATTTTTAGGTATATTATGTTGTCACAGTCAAGCCAGGTTTAGATTTCTTTTTTTAAAAGCTTTTCATATCATCGTAATTAGTTCTCAAGAAAGAAGACCAAGACTGCAGACAGTTAGTAACAAATGACCAAAAATGCAGAGAAAGTGACAAAACCTACTTTGTACTACCACTTTTAAAGTGTAGCCACTGAGCCAACTTCTCATCCAGACAGAAATGGGCTGAAAGCTGGCAGGAGACAATGTTCCTTCTCCTGCAAGCACACAAAGCTGGGTGTCACCTTCGTACTTCTGCCATCATGAGTCCATGACAGCTTGTGCTTTCCTCTTGTAAAACCCCAGGGATGCCAAACAGGATGCAAGAGTCTTGCTCTGTGTAATCAGGGACATCCCGAGTGTGTACACCTGGAGTGTATACTGCTCTGAAAGTCAGACTGCTTCTGTCAGCACATATTCAAAGTGAACAGATGAATTTGAGTGTGTCAGTATTTTATCCATCAAGACAGGAAGCAGGAAATTCTGCCTCAGAACTAGATCTGTCAATATTTCCTGAAATCGTTGGCTATACTGAAGCCTTCTACCTTCTCTGGTTTTTTAGAGACTGCTGGTTTTTCAGAGACTGCCCCTTTGAACTAAAAAGAAGGCAAGACTTTGTTAGACTTTAAACAGGTTTATTTTCTGTTGGTTCTTTGAAAGTTTTATTACAGAACCTCTCTCCTCTTTTCACCATCTGACTGATAGGAAATCAAAGGATTCTAAAATGGAAAACATCTGATTTTAGGAATGTAACAATTAGTTGGCATCAACAGCATATTACTACTGACAAAAGCATTTCTGCAACCTAGGATTCTTAAATAGAACATTAGAAATGAATTACAATACAAAAAAAAAAAAAAAAAAAGGTGTACCAACCAGGCCTAAGATCCATGCCAGCTTAAAAGAAAGCAATGGCAAACTAACTGGGACTAGCTTTACTTATTACACTAGCTTAAAATATTTGCTCTTTGTCCTTGGGGCATTTGATTGCATATGAGAAATACATAACAAATAAACACATCAAAAGCATTAAAAAAAAAAAAAAAAAAAAGGTAAAGTAACTGCTGTGTCTATTAGTTTAATGTTCCTGTATTCCCTTAAAGTACCTTAAAAGTACTGCATAACCAAAAGGTCACCCTTGCACATAAAATACGTAAAAATAGCTATTTTATTACTGAGCTTTAGAAGATACTAAATATGTTTCAACGAATAAGGCATTAGAAGACATTAAAATAGATTTTGAGAAGTACTGTCAGTGACACACTTAAAGGAGTGGTTTGAAATTGTGTCAGGGAGGTTGTCAGAATAAAGGTTTTTTTAAAGACTCATGTGGCAACAGAGTCAGTGAGATGGCTCTGGGCCTCATTTCTCCTCTCTTCACAAGGCTGCTGAGCTCCAGTTTCAGAGTCAATGCTGCAAAAAAATAGTTAAGTCTTGTTACGCTGACTCTGGGTAAGTCTTGTGTGATCTTTGACACAGGAATTAGGCTACAAAATTCTCACACAGAAGTCAACAATTAAAATCATGTTTTGTTTGGAAGTGTTTTTCAGTTCCCAGGAATTTATAAAGGTTTGTACACAACAGTAATAAAACAGCAATAGGAGCTCTGCAGTTAAATCACTTTGCTTAGCAAACCAGGAAGAAACAACAAGAATGGCCTTGGTCTCTGATGTTTGAATAAAAACACCAGGAGTGAGCCCTCTAGCCATATAAGTGGCCTTCGTATAATCAAGGCCCGAGTATATCTGTTTGCTTCACCCACATTATGTGAGACAGGCAAAAATGCAATAGTCTGCCGAGCTGAATTACTGTAAATAAGCAGCAATAGAGTTGAATGTAACTTTTGAACATACGGGGGAAAAGAGAGGATTTTATTATTTACCTTGATACAGTATGACTTACTACATTACTTTTTTCTTCTCTAATAGAGCAAAATATGTGTTTTCCTAATGAAATATCTCAAGGCTCTTTCCACAAAACAGGTGATTATGAGTTTCTGTTCTATCACCTATCACTCTAGAATATATTATAATGTAATACAAAAATAAAATTATAGATAATAATAGAGAGTAGAAAATATCACACATACAATCAAAGTTTTCAGTCCCGTCTCATTATGACCTCATGGAAATTAATTAAATGAGACCATTTCCTTGAGTACCATGGACACCCCGTCCTCTCCCCTGCCTAGTAATTTCCTCTCAATTCATGCTTGGTTTGCCTCTTCAAACTTGGCAGACATTGGCCAGCTCTTCGTCTTCAGGCCAGCTTTCACCCTAGACTCTCTTGCCTTCAGGAAGAGGAAGGGCTGGGAAGGTGACAGACAAAGCTGGGCCAGACCTCTCCCATTGCCCCTGATATCTGTAGGAGTGGCAGCAGCTGTAGAAGAGGAAAAGGAAGAGAAAAGTGCTGAGGAAAGGGAGAGATAAGGAGAAGCTGCCATGGATCACAGTGAGTGAACACACAGGTGTGTAAGACAAAATGCTTGAAGGCAAGAGGACTAATAGGAGGCATCAAGATAAAACTGGACCGAGTGACATCTCTACACAAAGAGACCTCACCGGTCAGCTCTGTATAAAAATAACAACCTGCCTTGCCAGCCACATTCTCCCTTTGGTCCCCAGCTGTTTCCACTTCCTTAACATATGTTGAACCAAATGAAGTGTTTACTAATTTCCCATCCAGCTTTTTCGGAAAAACGCAAGAGCACGGACTGCCAAGGCCGGAAGAAGGTGAAAAAGACCAGGCAAGAAGAACAGTAGAAGATAAAACTAAAGTGTTTAATCAGTGCATTTCTCTTGGGTTTTCAGCAGGTCTGCTTAACTGCTTCATTACCAGAGCTGGCACTAAGATGAACATCCACAATTGTCAGTTTTGTGGAAGACAAGTGGATGTCCAGATATCTGAATGGGATCTCTTTTCTCCACAGGGGAGCCAGAAGCACATTTTGAGTGGCTAGTAATGATCACAACAAAAAAATAGTAACTACAATTCATCTGTCATTCACTCTCTAGAGGAGGTGACTTGAATTGCAGTCCCCTTCATAGTCCAGAGACAGACAGGAAAAGCACTTTTTTCCAGTTTTGCTCCCTTTAGCAATACTATTAATAATAAAACAATAGTCAAAAGCTCTATATTTGCTATTTCTCTATCATTCATCCATCAGCAGAGCTCAAGGGTAATTAATGCACAATTCCCTGGCAGCAGTCATTCTGTTTATTCATGAACCCAAGTTAATAACCCAAGCCAGTAATTCCAAAGTGCTAATTCTCACCCACTTGTATCACATAAACAGCAACAAAGCAGATTTATTCATTCACCAGAGAGAGAAGGAAAGGACTGAGGCCAAAATGAGGGCCTTGCTCTTTCAAATGCTCTGCTGCTGAACTTGGTGCAGTTGAGCACAGCTGGTGTGCTTCTCTGCATGCTTCACACTGATGCAGCTAGGTGCAAGAACACACTGTACCTGTAAGAGAACCTCTGTATCTTCATAAAGGTGTTCACAGCCTAGTCAGTTCAGATGTAACTCTTTGAGTCTGTCACATTTTCACAGGATACTTAAACTAGTGAGAAAGTTCCAGGCAGTGACTGCCCCATACCTTGAGACCACAGAAACAGATTTTCCTTAATTCTTTTTCTCATGCTTTTCCCTGTGAGCACAACTTTGATAGAGCAACAGGTAGCATAACAGGTGAGTTAAAAACTGCAATTATAAAGTAACCTTGGGATTAGCATGTTTAATGAGTCCAAATTCCTGGAGCTTAAATGAAGAAAAAGCCTAGAACAGTACCAGGCATCGCTGGTCTATGGAGAGGTTTGGGTTGAGTTGGAAGCTTCAGCATTTACTGTAATTGCTTTCTTTCCTACTGTTTCCCGTACTTTACTAAGAAGATTAAGTAAATATATATTAAATACATAAATATATTATATAAAAATGTATTATATTGTAAAACTTGTTCTGAGCAGGTTTCTAATCAGCATGCAATAACCACAAAACAGAACAGGGAAGAATTTTTTTTCCATTGTAAAAGTGAGGATCTTTGTTGCTCCCATATCTGCCAAGTAAGACGGGTAAACAGAGCCTCATTCAAAATCTCAGTTTGATAGCTCTTCATTCTAAATCTGCAGTATCTGGGTAAGTTATATCCTTCGACTGGAATGAAAGGGCATACAATCTCATTTCCTTCTGTCAATTAGGGTGACTGCTGCTTATGAAAAACTCTACCTCTCTGCCTTGGCATGCTGCTTAAGGTCAGATTCCCTGGAATCAGAGAAAATACCAAAAAAAAGCAAAGATACTGGACTTTTTCCTTCCTCATTGAGTTACTGCTCTTACAGTTGTCAGTGATTTCAGCACTGCAAACTAAGTGAGGATGTGGGTAAAGGAAGTTTTCAGTGTCCTTATCCTTCTGTTTCCTGGTATCATTCAGAGCCGACTTGACTTCCAGTGTCATGCAAAGCAATTTCATTGCTGCTCTGATTCATTCTCATGTGCTATCATCCAGAACACAGCACACCCCAGCCATGACCCTTCCATCCTCCTCTTGGCCCTGTGGCTCTACAGGCACAGCAGAGTTTCATTAGGCAGGGGATATCCCCCTGGGTTTCCTTCAGTACCTCTTGTTCCTTCTCAAGTGTAATAAAGGAGTCTGGATAATGAGGCCCAAAGAAGTAATTCACAGTAGTTTGCTACAGGAGGTAGAGTGATTAAAAAGGACTGAAAAGCTTACATAGCAGCTGCCAGCCCAGCAAACAGAAGTGTTCTCCATACTGAAAAATGCAGAGCGCAGGTTTTAGAGCTCCTTGACAACACAGCCCTCTATGGAATAGAATGAAACAAGGATAATACAAATGCAAGCTCGTTTACTGATGTAGTTAAGACACTTCCTGCAACAGAAGCAAAGGAGAAATTAAAAAAAAAAAAAAAACCAAACCAAACAACAACAACCAAAACAACACAACAAAACCAAAAACAGAAACCAAACAAACAAACAAAAAAATTAAAAACCCACAACCAAAAACCTGTGCTATAGAAGAGTGAACTACTTACCCTCAGCCACTAGACATCCCCATATCTGCTCCTATTTAGGCCAGATAAGTCCAGCCTTCATCTTTCCTCTGAGTACTACAGCATGTTGAACTGTACTTTCTTCCATTTTTAAACTGTCACAAAAATTTCTCCAAATAGTGGTGTAAAGAAATACCATATTCCCTACCTTATTTGACTCTGAATGATTAAGTCTCTTACCAGTTGCACTTCTGATGTGGTTTATTCCTTATCAGTCTGACATCACTTTGATTTTACTTCCACACCTGCTTAATCTTGCAGTGGCTTGTCTTCCTGTGGCATTGGTGTTAAAGCTGTAGCCTTCAATCTCTTTTTAATTTATATGTTATTACATGTTCTTAAAACACCTTCAGTTAAGGAAAGGTGATCTCTCTAAATCAGCTCGACTTACACTCAGGAAATTTTCCTAAGGTCTGTCATGAATGAAGTTTAGACCCATTTTTTAATTATCTTGTTTCTACCGGGTAAGTCAGAGAAGGAAAGCAGGATAACTACAGGCGGAGGAAAACAAGAGCTACTGCCTACTTGCTCCAGCTTGGTAACACTGGAACAGATTTGTGTCAAGTTCACTGTGTTGCAGGAGCAGCCTAAGGCTATAAAACAATTTGCTTCTGTTTCAGGGCACATGAGCTGCATGTCAGCCACGGAACAAACAAGTTGTCAGTAGCTGATGAGACTGGAGCCTCCTCTCTCTGACAAGAGCTGGCACGATCTCTGCATTCAGATGTAGCTTCCCCTTTGCATGCCACCAAGAACAGGTAGACAGTACCACTGGGTGGGTACACCTTCCATTTGTGTACTGCCTTCCCTCATTCATCTCCAACTTCTTATTTTCAGGCAGATGTCACTCACCCATGGTTTTCTTTATACCTTGCATACTTTCCTCTTCTCCTCATCCATTTCCACCATTGTGTTCTTTGTTTCATTCAACAGCTGACATGAACTCCATCTTGTCTTGGAGACCTCAGTGCACTCATTCCCAGGAGGTGTAACAGAACTATACTACTTCCCAAACAGTCATTTATATTTCTACAGTGCCTTCTAGCTGTGCAACACAAAATGCCCTGAAAAGATGAGCTAAATCAGCACCATTGCATTTCTGAAGACAGGAGTACTAGCCTCTTTCCTAACTAGGTGAAACTGGGCAAAGAATGACAAACTGACATCTCCAAGATGGGCCATGCAATCTTGGGGCCAGACTTGCTATGCAACCTACATTTCTTAAAATTTAGCAGCCTTGCTGTGATCCTGTGCTCTATTCTGAACTCACCTTTCACTTTGCTTTAAAACTCCTCCTTGATTCTGTATTTTATTCTGTTTCTATAGATTCACATAGTTTTAGAGCTGTTGATATGTAATTTCTTTGCAATCATCAGCTCAGAAATGTTGCAGCGTTTCAGAAAAATCATGGGGTTCTATAGAAATATCTGAAAACATGGAGTTTGTGAGAAAACTTTACTTGAAAAAAAAATCCTTCAGGTAAAAACTAGCAAAAGTCATCAAGAGTATAAAACCCCCAATCCCTGTAGCCACTGAGTGGCTCTTTCAACGGGAAGAGATGCACTGAAGTTTTTGGATTACACTGCGTACTTGCTGGTCTCTTGCTGGGAAGATAGGTGACCTAAGTGTTTCACAGCAGCAGCGTGCTAGTGCTCCAAGGGGAAGGAAATCATTAATTTCTCATTTCTCAGCTGACTTATGACTACCTTGGCTGTGATGTAAGTGAGGAAGCTTGTCAAGCAGAAAAGGGAGAAAAAAGATAAGGGGGTGGGGTGACTACAGAGGTAAATGTGCAAAAAAGGAAATAGTATTACAGATCCAAGCTGCTATCCAGACAGCACTGCCAGAGAACCATTTGTCCATGAACCTTACTACCACAGGGCTGTCATGTCTTCTACATATCCATATAGTCACTAAAAGACTTTTATCTCCCCATTTTACTAATGAAAGCTCCCAGTGCACTGTCATATTGGTCTCAGATCCCAAAGTCTCTTTCACAGTAATCAACCTAGTTTCTCAGTATCACCTATTCCATGCTCTTGCCTTTATTTTCACAATACTTCTATTTCCCTGCCACAAATGTTACCTATTTGACTGGTCAAGAGGCAGTATAAATCACGGCTGATTTAGACATGAATGCTGACAGCAACATTGCAGATCATATAGGTAAGATAAGGACTGAAGGCAAACTTCCCCTTTGTCTTCTTCCTTGCAATGAGTTTCATTACATTTTTTAGGTATGTACCATCAGCCTCTACTTCTGATGAATTTGATTGAAATTTAGAATTTATTGGTGAAATTGCACAGGTGGATGTGCAGTGATAAGTCTCATATTCACATGAAATTTCCAGTTTCCATATCTCTTCAGAATCTTACATTGATCCTAGAGAAGTGATTGTTTACCTGTTTCGTTCTATAACATGAAAGAGCCAAACAGAAAACAGGAGATGGCAGAAAAAGAGGGTGAGGTAAAGGGAAAACAACCAGCTCCCACGTCAGCCTTTAGTAATTTTGTCAGCCCATTAATATTCTTTAGTCTCCTATCCTGACACTTAGGAATGCCACTGATGTCAACATACAGTACACAGTTACCTTAGGTCAGACAAAAGCTAATCCTGGAAAGAACAGTAAGAGTAGTTAAGTCTTCAGTATTATTTTCTTCCACAGATTTGGCAAATTATTTAGTCTTGTAGCTCATAACATTTCATAAAAGTGAAAATCTCCAGTCTTGTTAGATTTCAAACATGGAAAAACTGTTCTTGGTAGAGGAGTTACTGTAAGACTTTGTCACTTTTTATTTGTTATGAGGGCAGTAAAAATTGCTAATGAAAAATGTCACCCAAGGAACTTGCTTTCTTATTCACTGTTCTGAGGCCAGAGACACAACCGTCATCAAGGAGGTGAAGAGTCAAGGAGAAGAATTTCTGGACTATTTCCTCAAATAAAACTAAAGCCTGTTACAGTGTAACATCGTTTTCTTCTTAGTTGAGAAGTTTGAAGTGTTACTTCTCAGATTGTGGAACAGCCTTTTCACTTAATGAATAATATTCTGGAAAAATGATATTTTGCCCAAAAACTAATTACACCTTTTAATCTGTCCTGTTGTCTCACTCATTCATGCTGTGACATGCACTGCAAGTAGCTGTCAGCCCAATAACCTGAGATTTAATACTTGCAAAGAGATTTGTTTAGATATGATAGATGTTCACCCAGTGTGCCCCAGAATCAGTCCTATAAACACTATTTACTGCCAATCTGATGGAGCATTTATTATATGTTGCATCCAACTGCTTCTCTCCATCAGTTCCAATGTTGCTGATGGAACACCACCACATACTCATTGTTTCCCCTTGGCTGTGGTATCAAACTGTTTCCATACGGTACAATCACCTCTGACCAAAAAAAAAAACCAAAAAACCAAAATTAAACTGCTTCAATCTGATTTCTGCCCAGAACTGATGAACTTAATTTTCTGCCAGATTATGAGTAGATCAGGAAGTTTAAGGTATTTGCTTTTCAAATGTATTAATTTTTTAAAAAATAAAACCTATTATTTAATGGAGTCAGGACGGATACTTGAGATTCAAGCCACAGCGTTTCAGTGTTACTGGTCAAGTAAGTTTTATTCTCTGTTTGACATTATCACCCTTGATTTGGCTAATATGTAAGCACTACCAAAGCAAATGCTTTGTATGTAAAGGATATTTTTTTTCCTGAAATACATGGGAATACGTAAAAGGTATTTTTAAAAAGAAGGTGCATCAGTAAATATTGATTTACATTGTTGGTGAGCAGACATGAAATGAGTACACCTATAAAATAAAAAAAAAAAAAGTGCACTTTTTAAATTATTCAACCTTGCTATTAATGTTCCTGGGAAGACAAAACTGAGGAAGCTGAGATGTTTTGTTATACAGATCTTGAGGTCTTTGACAGGTTACTAAAGGAAGGTTATCATATGTCACTGCAAAGGAAATTATTTTTTTAAAGAGCTATTTTTATTCCTCATTCTGTGCACGTGTAAATGATGATTTGCAATCAGCCTGCTTTGTTTGGTCAGTGCTGCCAAAGAACATCCCATGTAATACGCTTGGCAAAATCCTCAATTAAATCAGGTCAAAGGAGGTCAGGGCCCAGCAACCTTTCCAGAAAGGCACGCCAGACTTTTTTTTTCCCCTACTAGAGATAAATCACGTACTGCTTCTCAAAGAGACGAAAGGCTCACAACTTCCATATGCCAAAGCTATTCATTACCTCTGTGTGCAACAGCAATCATCTCCACTGAAGACATAAAGAGGGAGCAGAGAATGTCTGAAAGTCACAGCCATCTCACAAAATCCCTGGAACTTGCAGCCATCTCCCTGAAGGAACAGCAGCTCCCACCTCCTGATCCTGCCCAAACCCTACTGAACACCACTCAGAAGGGACCTGAGGTTTCCGATTCTGGAATAAAGAATTGGAGGGAAAACTCCTCTTGCAAAAAATACGTAGCTTCCACATCTAGCCTGTGGGGTGAGTACTTGTTCTGTTGTCTTAATGTCATGGCTGACTGACTACAACACAGGGAAACCTGATTCAGGCTTATGCACTTGGGCTTCACTTTTCTGAAGGCTTGGGAGCCTGATCATGGAGAGAAAGGTGTGGAAGATGGTTTGTGAATTGAATCAGGACCCAGCTTGTGAAGAGCTCCTTACACTAGACCTGGGAATCACTCCCTTATCTTCCAGTTTTGGTTTATCCTTAGCCTATACCATCATAAAACCATTACTTGGAAAATCTGTTGCACCATGCACTGAGCAGAACAGTCATATGTGGGGAAATCCACATTATGTAGATGACTGTGAGCTCTGTGGCATATGAGGTTCATTTTAGCCTTGGCATCTTTTTCAGATGGTACAACCATACATGATAAATCCCTCAAATGTCACCACAGGTAATAAAAAAACACTGCTAAGTCTTGGTTCAAAAAACAAGGAGGTATGATGTAGTCTGTTAACAGGGACTATAATAGTGATAATAAATCTAAAGAAAAACCTCTAATT